TCATACATATTAAAACGGAGGGGAGTAATAAAATTTCATGCATACATAACTCAAACAAAAAAACCTATTGGGTTTGAAAGTTGACACAGTTCATCGTTTCGTCTAGTACAAATTGGTTTTTAGATAACCTGACCAGGCATGGTTCAGTGATTGGTTGGACTGGTTTAACCGAATGGTTTAAGTTCATTTATCATCAAACCAGTTTCATTTTGGTAGATCCGATATGTAATGAAAAGATACTGTAAGAATCATACAACATCTCTGTCCAAGAAGTAACTCATAAAATCCAACCAATTAGAGGTGCGACACAATCATCTTCAAGTCAACTGAATCCCCTCAAAATCATTTACATTGTCACTTTTACTTAAAAGACAATTTAATTACTCCATTGGAGATGAGTGATCTTCTGCTACGATACCTTCTTCTTCTACACAACCCAGCATGATTGCAGTTAACATCAGTTTCCCCGCCTCAGCGAAATCTTTGTGGATCATCAACACGTCCTCTACCGAAGAAGTTGAATCCTCAAGATTCTCTCGTCTTAAGGGAAGGACTTGTGTGAATTCCCCATCAAAAGTGTTCACTCGGGTTGGTCCGTAACACCTTTTGGAAGCCTGGAAAAGCGCCGTGTTCCTTAGATTCTGTAATATTTCTTTGTCGCTCCAACCTTCATTATTAGAGGCTTGATGGAGCTCCTCCCACTCGTCTTGATTAGCTGCATTTCTCCAGCATTTTTCCAAGAGACTCTTATGATTCTCACGGAACGTACAGCTGGTCCATGCAAACACCTCAAAAGCCTTTATAGCTGCCCATCGGCCCTTGATACCAAGACAGATTTCAATGAGCTCCTCGGGTGGGACCAGCCGGCTTCTTGGAAGAGCTTTTGTTAGTTCTTCCTGCCACAAATAATGGTTTCACTAGTTATTGAGAGTATTTACACAGCTAAGTCTACCGACATATACAGGAGACATATTAACACAGCTGAAATCTCTTAACCTGCAGCTTCAGTAACTTGAGGTCAGCCTCAATGCGCTTCACTTTCGATTCGGAATCAGCATCCTTATCTGAAACATGATAATTATCACGAATTTCAGAAGAAAAAGCTGTATGTCAAAACCAATAACATGTGGCATCTACATATACAACCCAAGGAACATAAACTATTATACCTGCCACATAGGCTATCTTTGAAAGGTTCAAAAACCGCTTGCGGTCTGCAAATGTTGGTTGTATATCTTCAGGTTCTGGCACCGTTCTTTCTTCAGTAGTTGTCATAGACTCTTCATCTTGTGCTAGAGCCAATGCATGAAGAGTGTCAGAGGCAGATGAGAATTGATGAAGAAACACCTGATGGAGCCACAGCAGATCAGAATGGCGCTTTAGAAATATCAATAGCTCATCCTGGAATTCTTCTCCAAGCCGCAGAAGCTTAGTGAACTGTTTCATAGTATAGAGTTGCTGGAACACAAAGTAACTGAACCCTCCTTGTGGTCCCACACCTTCGTGCTGCACAGGAACACAAAGGTATTATACTAAGCAACATAGAAATGAAGTAAGATAACTAAGATAAAGAAAGAGATGATTGAATATTATCGCTTTAAGAAAGTGAAAGGTGGTGTCCCCAAGCTGCCACAAAAAGAAGAAAACACAGTACAAAAATTGTCTACTCTACCGTGCAACCTCCAGAGTATATTTGAAAACCTGGGTAGTTTAAACAATAAAACCACCAGAAATCTAATGCTTTTGAGCTCTTACCATCAAGTTTCTCAGCAGCCCTGTGTCATTGAGATCATAACATATCCTCCACATAATTTTATAGCCTGCATGTCGTTTAGCAACGGAAAGCAAATTTGAACAACGGTTTCTGAATATATCTTCATCTGTCTTTTCAGTTCTTTCGTTGACGCCCTACAGATACAAATAAAAAATCAGTTCATGGTGTTATTCAACACAAAAATAATAAGCAGCGCATGCGAAGAAGTTCTAACCTGGAAATCTGCTTCCATAAACTCTTTAGCTTGTTGATAAAGACAGTCAAAAATGGTGTCCCGCCGAGTCCAGTATTCATCAAGCAAACCTTTGTTTTCTTCTTCTCGCTCCAATTTAGCAGTGGTAGAACTAGCACAAGCTTCTAGTAAAACTTCATTTAGCACTTCGAGATGCATGTATACATCTGATTTAGCAGAGATATCAATCCTAGAAGCTTCAGTTAACAGGCGAAGCATAAAGGAAGCAATGCACCACAGTCCATCACATACAACAGGCTGGGAGTGCCAAGGTATTAACCCTTCAAGTGGTGGATACCACATCTGATGCTCATTTTTATAATCAAAGGCAGTCTGAAGAATTGTAGCACATGCGTTTGAGAGTTCACAGGCTTTCTGAACTTGAATTCCCAGTGGTTGTTCAGCTCCGATTATGTATTCTAGTTGCCTATTCAGGCAATGAAATACTTCCTCAAGTTCAGATACCTTGCTGTAGAAAACTTCAGAATTATCTCTGTCCATCAAAAGAACTGTATTTCGCCGGGCTCTCTCCCCTACAAATTGAATAAGATCCCAAAGGGCACATGAAACTTGATCCTCTGAGCCAGGATGCGGCGAGCCAAATCTAGCTGAGCGGCGCTGGTTAATCAAATTTTGCAGTTCTCGGAGTTGAATCATTGCAGCAAGTTTTTCACCATTTTCCAGAATTATTTGCAAAGAATGTCCTGCCATAAAAGAGACGCATTAGCGGAGCCAGTCAGTTTTATGCGAACCATAATAATTTAACAGCAGAGTAAACAAGGGGAGTGGTAAAAGCAGGTTGATCAATAATTAAGCTCCAGACTTTGCATTATTCATGAACTACCCATCTGATTTTGGGAAGAAATTACTTGATACGTAGAGATATATCTTCAACCATTAAAAAGTGTAACTAAGAGAGATTTTCTGATTTTCAACATGTATGCAACAGCAATGAAACATAATCATGCTACAGTAGAAAAAAAAAACAGTGAGAGATCAAAGTGAGTACTCTGTTTAGAACACAACTCCTCATGGCATTTGGATAGAGCAAGAAAGTGTAAAAAATTCTCATGCTTCTGTTGTTTCTCGACCAATTGTGCAGATATAACAGTCATAGCTACTATCTCAGCACCTCTAGTTGTTGTCCAATGCTTAGCTAATGTGTCAACTATAGATTTACTTTTGCGAGTAAAAACATTGGTCTCTCCATCTCTATCAAATGCACCAGATTGACTAAGCTTCTCCAGGGATCCATCAACTCTCCCAGATAGCAGAAAATCCTCAAAGAGCTGGCCAAGCAAAGCTTCTGATTCTTCCTCATGGGCTGTTTGACGAGCAAATCCCATTTTAGGGTTTCCTTTGTCTCCACTATTCCGTAAATCCGAATTCTCCCATCTCGCAGTTCTAGCAATGCCATATGGTGTGCCCCTTGTCTCATCGCGTAACCTCTCATTGGAGCTCCCTTTGCGTGACAAACTTCGCTCTGGAGGTTCAACTCCACCAAGCACGACTGCTTTCTCCGGTATAGCCCACACTCCAGCTTTCTCAGTTAGCACAGTCCATGCACCATATTCATGTTCATCAGTTGGGGAAAGAACAGAAGCATCCAAGACCTTTCCAGCATCAAAAGGTAGATCAAACTTATAGAGCCGGGTAGAATTACCATGACAGTAGCAGACTGTGGCTGTCCCATCACCTGAAAGAATTATAGCGGACCCTGGGGGTCTACCACCAATTCTGAGTTTCATAGAGAATAAGAAGTCTTTGTCCTCTACTCTTGCTTTTGGGATTATGACTTGTATTGGAGCCTGTTTCTCGAGAACCCTTTCCTCTCTCCCATCCGGAAATCTCATCTCAGATCTATGTTGCAAGGTTAAAAGCGAATATTGAGTATAGCTTGAACTGCTAGCGCGGTCCATGCAGATAGTGGCAACAAGAACAGTAATCACATTACCCTGATCATCCACCTGCAAATCTAGCGGCCAAATTTGCTTTTGACTTGCTATGTCTTTCTTGATACCTGAATCACCATCAGTGCCAACAATCTCATGACGCCAGACTTTCGAAATGGTCAGAGCAGGATAAGGTTCAATGGTAAAACATTGTATGTCACAATCTGTCAACAGGAAAAACTGCCAACAAGACTCTCTTGCCAATCCTTGCGAAAAACGCCAGATCAGGGACCTAGGATACCCTTCACTTATAGAGGAAGAGATGACGTTCAAGTGTACATGATTACTTTTAACGTCTGTAGGGCTGCAAGTAAATTGCCATAGTTCACCATTAGAACTGCACACAATGGCAATACAAAGGCGCTCAATTGTACCAACAGGTGTAGTAATCAAAGAATTAAGATCACTAAATCCTGCTCTAGTGCTTCTCATTCCATTGCTTTGTGGCTTGCTGAATGATGAGGATTTTTCGTCAGAAGATCCAAGATTAGTAACAGGGGCAGCTTCCTGCCCAGAAAAGATGTCTGGCCAGTATACAACAGCTCGAGTTTTTCTGTTACACATAACAATACCAACAGGACTGCGAGATCGAGCAGCCCTGGTAGCTGCACCAGCAGAGGTATCCCAAGGGACGACACTAACCAACCAGCTTCTACCATCTTGTGAAGCACTAGCAGGATTTTCATTGGCCAAAGGAATGTCAAGAACAACACATCTCCTTGATGGTAAGGTTGTCAAGTGACTCCATACAAAAAGTTTACTTGCAGTAATAAACCAAGAAAGGCAGGTTTCTTTGTCCATTCCACCGGATACACATACATAACCTGGAGACGAATAAGAAAAAGGAACACTAAAGTACATATTCTCCCTCAACCAAACTGTTTCTATCTAACGAAAAGAGTAGTAACCTGGATGACTATTCTTCGTGGAGAAGCAGCTTTGTTCATCTCGTACCAATTGGGGAAATTCTCCAACGAATACAGGCTTTAATTGGTCTGTGTCATCTCCTTTTTCACCAGGAGAAGCTCTTGGCAAAACAATGACCATGAATCGAGATATCAATACAACAAACAAGATCCGGGAGTAGAAATGTAAGGCAGTGAGAATCAACATACCTAGCGAGAACAGACAAACGAGGAGCCCACGGAGAAGGAGTTCCCGTGGAGGGACGATCTGAGATGAAACTGTCACGGTGAGCCAATTCGCGGCGATTGTTGGTTGCCGGAGTAACTGGAGAATCCGGCGGAGCGACTCGAGGGCGTGGAGTTCTGTCATTGCGAGAGCTCTGATTAGCTCTCTTCGTCAGTGGAGAGAACATGTTCATAGATTTTGTACCCAGGAAGAGAGAGAGAGGGGTTTAGGGTTTATGTGAAGAAGAAGCGAGAATTGGCTTTCGAACGCATCGGACGGTGAATGGTTCGGCGATTCATGTCCACATTTTGGTTCACCCAAATTCGGATTTCGATATTTCCCGATCGGTTCGGTTTACTGTTTAGTTTGGAATTAGGAAATAGCTACTTTTGTTTGGGCTCTGTTGTCGGCCCACGTTGTTGTACGTACTACATTTATATTACCAAATCAGAGTCATTCTTTACTTGAAGAAAAAGCGGACAACATTGAAAAATACTCCATGGTGATGAAGAAATGATCGAAGTCTTCGCTAAAAGATCAGCACATTCATTCGCAGTACGTTTGCGGTAAGTGAACTTGATGTATAAAAAGTTTGCCTTCCAATTGGTGATGGCAGTAATGTGATGTTGGAGCTTCAAATTCATGATATTGTTGTTGATGACACGATTGATAATGAGATTGTCTCCTTCAAATTCAACTTTTGGATAACCTAAAGCCCAAGCAGATTGCGTAGCCCACAAGAGTGTTGTGCATTCAGCCTCTTCCACCGTTTCTCGACCTTCAAATTTTCCCATTCCAGCTTCGAGAAAAATACCATTGCTATTCTTGATGATCCACCCCAATCCGGAGTTTTGATTGCCTTCCCTATGTGAAACGTCGTAGTTACATTTGACCCAATCACTTGCCGGTGGTTTCCATCGAACTTGTTGTTGTGTCGGCATTGGTTGCGTAAAGATATTCTCATTCGTATCACCCAAGGTGGAGACCCATTCCTCAACATCATTGATTGCTCTTCTATGAGTTTCTTCTTCGGAAATCATATGGTGATTGAACAAAATATCATTTCGACTTTTCTAAAGTCGCCACAAGATCCAGAGAGGTAGTAAACGTGTTTGTAAAGCTAGATGTTGGTCATGGTTTATAACAAAAAGGTACCTTAGTTTGTCCTCGATGGTGATTTGCGGATCACAAAGTAGTTGCGTTAGAAAACATGTATGTCGCCAAACTATTTGTGCATATTGGCAAACGAAAAAGTGTGATTACTTGATTCTCCCTCTGTGCAACAGCGAACACAATTCTGTCCAACATTAATTCGTCGATGTCGTAGATTTGAAGCTACCACTAT